GGCTATGTTGGAGGTTGTGAAGTAAGTGTGTCTCCCCCCGCTCAGATTTCCTGTTGCAGTCTCATGACGGAGGCTCTGCTTGTCTATAGATAGAGCTGGAGACACTGGGCTCAGCTGAGCTGCTCTGGTGAGCGGGTCAAACTGTCAGACAACTCAACAGGTGCTGAAATTAAGAATCACACACACACACACAGAGCCCACCCTCTCTAACCTCACCATATGTGTAAAGATTTGCCGTAAGCCTTGTTTAAGTGTTTGCTGTCAGGCTGCATACTTTGCAAAGTCACTGTCCGATCTGTCAAGGCATATTTGTATTGAAGTGTAACGTAATGAATTATTATGTAGGGTATTAGGAAATGCAAGCAGATCATATTGCATGTGTGCCACATGAGGAATGTGATGGTTAGAAATCATCCAGCATTTGTGTGAGTCTGGTGCACTGTGTGTGTGTTGATCTTAAATTAGACACTGCTGCTGAATCACGTTTGTTGTTTTTTCACCTAGTTCGAGATCAGCCGTTCGTCCGGTAGACGTGAATTAGACCACCCCCACTGCTTCAGCCACAACCCCTCTCTTACCAAACCCGCCCTCTAAAAACATGCCAGCCAACCTGATGTCAGAAAACGCAAACCCATAGATTTAAAAAAGCTGAAAAGCGTGGGCTGCTTTATTGCAGAGCCCAGTGTTGTCACAGAGACAGGTGTGGTTTCAAGTGTTTTGTGTCAGGACTCTTGAATGCCTTCTTAAGCCGTTAAATGTTTTCCTAAACAGTCCAGTGAAGTTTAAGAGGGATGCCCTCCCAGCCATAGTTTCTCACTTATATCATGTCCACCCATGTATTATGAAGATGTTGCATTGAAAATATGACTGTTCCCCTCTTTTTTTTATTCTTATGAGTGTTTTTGGGCATTTATTTATAGGACTGTAGCGAGACAGGAAAGTTGAGGCTGAAAGAGAGCCAATGGGATTGAGACATGACTCAAGTTTGAATATGGGTCCCGTGCGCCAGCTGCTCTTATACTGTATATATATCATCAGCATGTACGCTATCCACAGCTCTGACGTCTATTCATGTTATGATTGCTGACTTTTGAACCATCAGCGTAAAATGCCAGTAACCGTGGAGAAAGCAGCGAAAATGCACTTCTATTTCATTCCAGTTCTGTATTTTAAATATATACACTACTATTAAAAGGGTTGGCAATTTTATTTAAAAGTTTAAAAGAACAGCATTTATTTGAAATAGAAATCTTTTGTAACTAGGGCTGCCACTAACGACTATTTTTATTTCGATTAATCTATCGACTAATTAATTGATTAATCTGAATGATTAATTTCCCACAAAAAATCAACAATTTTACTTAAGAATATTTTATTAAACTATATTTTATTAAACCAAATGAAATCCATATTTCTATGAAATCCTTTAAGGCAAAAGTAAAGTGCAACATAGAGTGCAAGAAGCAAGTGTCCATCTCATAATCCAAATCACTGAAATCAAAGTTCAGTATTATAGTGTAAGAATGACAACATATCCACGTGTTCTAGTCGACTAATAATACAATTTTAATAAAAAAAAATTTTTTTAAGGGAGTATTTACCAGAAATGTTATTTACCAGAATTTATTTAGGAGAAAAATGTAAATGTGCAGTGTTTCTGAAAAAAACGAAAAACAAATAATAAAATTTAATTAATTGGAGATGCTTTTGATTATTACAATTTAATGGAACCATTAAAATGGAATCCAGAAAATAATGGAAAACAGAATTTGGTAAAGATAAAACTGTAAAACTTAATTAATTAGACAGGCGTTTTGATTTATAAAATTTAAATTAACCATTAAAACAGAGTATAGAAAAATGAAAATGGAAAAAAAAACTGAATTTGGAAATAAAACGGATTTCATAGGGCCCTATAATTATAATTAATTTTTTTTTTACCAGAAATGTTATTTACCAGAATTTATTTAGGAGAAAAATGTAAATGTGCAGTGTTTCTGAAAAAAACGAAAAACAAATAATAAAATTTAATTAATTGGAGATGCTTTTGATTATTACAATTTAATGGAACCATTAAAATGGAATCCAGAAAATAATGGAAAACAGAATTTGGTAAAGATAAAACTGTAAAACTTAATTAATTAGACAGGCGTTTTGATTTATAAAATTTAAATTAACCATTAAAACAGAGTATAGAAAAATGAAAATGGAAAAAAAAACTGAATTTGGAAATAAAACGGATTTCATAGGGCCCTATAATTATAATTAATTTTTTTTGTGGTAATAAAAATAGATGTAAGTGAACAATAGCCTTTAAAATGACTTAAAATACATATATAATAGCAATGTTAAAATAAATGTTAAAATAATAATTAATTCAAATAAAGTATCAAAAGCAAGAAATCATATTGTTTTATTGAACAAAACCGTTAAAATGCATAATGTATTCTAAACAAAAGAGCTAATGTACATTACGCATTACAACAAAGGCCTGCAGAGGGTGCCAACGGCCTGATGATTATTTTTACACATTGCTGTGCGATCTAATACTTGTTTAATATTGACCAAGCACCATTTAATTCAAATGTACACTTAATCGTTAATATTTGGCCATTTCTTTAGGACAGAAATGCTATAGCCACTGTAATTAAATGAATATGTGGACATCAAAACGTGTAAACTCAGAGTGAGGGTTTGAGCTTTTATTTTGAAACTGCAATGTATTCTCCTGAGTTTGCGTAGATTTATAAATATAATAAACCCAAACTCACAACAACATGCAGACATGGAGTTTGAGCTGCTCCACACATGTAAATGATAACAGTTCCTGTGGAACTACTGTGAACAGAGCCGCTGTGTGACGCACGTACTTAACCTACATGCATGTAAATAAAGCGCTTATTAGAACTGCATCGCATATAATTATTTAATTAAATCGTAGAGTTTGTGAAGTCACAATTATGCTTCATATATCATGCAGCCTTGGGAAACAGTCTAATAATGTGTTTTATGGATTCTCGTCTGTGAAATGCGCCACTTCCGGTATTTTGCCGGTTAGTCGACGTGAGCAAAATTAAGTCGAGGATTTAAAAAAATTTAATAGTCTAATAAAATCGACGAATTGCGACAGCCCTATTTGTAACATTATGTCTTTACTGTCACTTTTGATCAATTTAATGCATCCTATTTTAATAAAATTATTTATTGATGATTCTTGGCTCATTTTGAGTAGAGGAGATGCACTGATTGCAATTTTCTTGGCTGATTTCCGATTTTTTTGTTAGTGTGATCTGCCGATACCGATTTTTGCCGATTCCGATTTTCTTTCGAAGAACTATAATTGACAGCATATACAAACAAAAATCTACTTCAACGCAAAGTTTTATTTTCATAAAAAAAACAAGTAAAAAGTCAGTAATAAAATAAGAACAAATAAAAAAATGGCAAACAACAGCACAAATAAATGCAATAGAATAAAGAGAGCTATGAAACTAAGTTTTTCAGGTCAAGTTTTTATTCAGGTAAGAATTTTATTCAGGTAAGAAATACTACAGAACTTAAAGTAATCAAATGTAAAATAACACATCCAGTGTTATTTTACATTTGATTACTTTAATTTATGTTGTCTTCATTGTAAAAATTTAATACAGATTAATGCTTGCCATTAAAGTTATAAAACGTATTCAGTCAAGAGCAGAAAGTGATTTTCTTTGTCTTTTGTTCTTTGATTAACATGACACAGACAGCAGCAGGAATATTGGACTGCGGTCCCTTTAAAGGGGTCATATGATGTTGCTAAAAAGAACATAATTTTGTGTATTTGGTGTAATGAAATGTGTTTATGCGGTTTAAGGTTAAAAAAAACACATTCTTTTCCACATACTGTACATTATTGTTTCTCCTCTATGCCCCGCCTTTCTGAAACGCGTAGATTTTTACAAAGCTCATCGTTCTGAAAAGCGAGGTGTGCTGTGATTGGCCAGCTATCCAGTGCGTTGTGATTGGCCGAATACCTCAAGCGTGTGACAGAAATGTTATGCCTCTCACCGTACTGTGATGATTCCCCGGAGCGATGATTCAAAAACATGAAAACCCATTATAAACGAGGCATTCGTTGCATCCAGTGGGGACATAAGGACATAATATAATGACAGAGGCGGCGGATTCGACGAAGGGCCGTCCGGCGGGCTTGTGGCAACCACATGTGATGACTCCAAAGAGAAAGGAAAAATTGAAATCGCATCATATGACCCCTTTAAGAGTTTATCCACAGACCCAATAATACTGTTACACAACTTGCATTCTCTTTCTCAACTATTTAACGTTCCAAAACTGACTGTGTTTAACTGGATACTCGCCAAGACGGGCATTTTGACATTATTTTGTATGTATTTGACCGTTTTAGCGCAGTTAGCCACTCATTTTGGTATTTGTGGCTCACAAGCTGTTTGAGACTGAGCGCTCCACTAATATAGATCAGTGGTGGTGCGCGAGCTTTTGGTGTAAGTGCAAAAACCTACGGGAATTACTAAAATAATACGCAATACAAGCACTATTTAACCAGAGCGAATGAGACATGTGTGAGAGAGAAGGGGTCGTCGGAGAGAAGAGAGTGAGAATGCACGGCTGATGTTATTGCCTGTGCCGCTGGTAACAAAACGGATCTGCTCGGAATTGGAAAGAAGTGAGACTGACCGGCCAGTCACCGATCCGGGCCGATCTCAAGGAAAATCGGCCGATTCAGATCCCTGGCCGATCGGTGCATCTCTAATTTTGAGTTTAACAAAATAACCTGCAGTGTTTGAGTGAGTGAGTAAAAAGTCGGTTCTGTAAGGTGGTGAGTTATCTGAACGATTCATACAGGACAGATGCAGAATAATGACCACTTTTTTAAAATTGCAGGTCCAAGATACCATTAAGTGTCCAGACAGAGTGCTTTCTGCTCAGATTGTTTGATGCAACAGCTATTAAGATACATTTCTCTTTCCTCTCTTGTGCAGGCAGAGGCCAGACTTGCTGCGAAGAGAGCAGCTCGTGCTGAAGCTCGGGACATCCGGATGAGAGAATTGGAGCGGCAACAGAAAGAGGTGAGTCCTATAGAGCAAATGGGTTGAGAAGTTGCACCAATGTGCAGTTTCTCAAGGTCTTCATACCTCTTTCCTCTGCCTTTGCCCAAATCCAGAACCACAAGTTTATTATACTTATTTCAGTCAGGTCTGTTCTACATTGATCCTCTGTTCCAAAACCTAGTGAACTACTTGCATAGGCAGCATTGTAAGGCATTATAGGCAAACTTTCAACATGACATCTGTTCCAAAAACTTAGCAGCATAATTGATGCAAGGTTGCTTATATCCTTAATGGAGAAAGAAAATCCCATAATGCTTAGCAAAATGATAATGCATAACACTATTGAGTCTCCCATATGATGAGCACTATTAGTATGACTAGGGCTGGACAATAATTCAATATCAATATGAATTGCAATATATTTTTTTTCAATAACGGTGATATGATTTTTAAACACATTTTCGATATACATTACCAGTGTTTCCCATATATTGATTTATTTGTGGCGTTTGACTTCGTTGAATAAACATGAGCACTGCACGTTTCAAAATCAAAACACGTCGCGGGTGTTTTATATGAATATATCTCTGAGGGGAAAGGACTGTGATTGTCTTCAGAACAGTTTCGCTGGCATTTTCATTTTTATCTGATAAAGAAGAGTTCATGAGCGGAGCTGATTTGATTACAGCTGTTACCGGGGAAACCGCTAGTTCTACTGCTCTTAAAGCGCCTCCTGCTGGCAGACAATCAGTTTGCATTTTCTGTCTTCAGCAACATGTTTTTGTTGTTGCTCTTTTATTAGGGCCTTTCGCACCGCGGGAACCTTTTCATAGTACCATAACTAATTGTGGAACTACCCACTTAGTACTGTACATTTAGTTCTGGAACTAAAGCGGTCCGAAAGGCCCTATTTATTTATTTGTTATTTTTTTCTGCAGCACTTTTCATACTCTTTATACTGGCTAAAGAACATTTGTTTCAATCTATAAGAATAATCAGCCTACACTACCAGTCAAAAGTTTTTGAACAGTAAGAGGATTTTTTTATTTTTTATTTTTATTTTTATTTTTTTAAGAATTCTCTTCTGCTCACCAAGCCTGCATTTATTTGATCCAAAGTACAGCAAAAACAGTAAAAAAAATTAATATTTGTACTATTTAAAATAACTGCTTTCTATTTGAATATATTTTAAAATGTAATTTATTCCTGTGATCAAAGCTGAATTTTCAGCATCATTACTCCAGTCACATGATCCTTCAGAAA